TAAATTTAAAATAAATTAGAAAGAGAAAATCAATTCTGAATTTAATACAAAATAAAATATTGTTTCACATTTCATCGTCGAGCCTTGATTCTTCACACGAGTGAAATCTATCGCTATAAAATTTTATTAACCCATTACTGTTGAAATAAATTCCAATTTCTAATATCAATTTTTCAGTTTTATTTCTAATATCAATAGTTTCCAATATCAGTATCCAAGTCTGCCTTTAAATGATGAAAAATGACGTTTAATATGTACAGGTATAACTGTTTTTCTATACGAAGAGATATAATTTTTCTTAGAAAGGGGTTGCTGCGCTTTTGTCTGGCAGTGACTCGATCGTGCGTTGCTCTCCAAAATAAGTCATCATCGATCCCGTTCGTCATCGTAAGTCGCATTGGTCACGCTCTCGAGAATTCCCGCCGATAACAATGAAGAAAAATAGTCATCGCGGTCGCGGTGCGTAACACGCGCCAGCATCCGCATAATCGCGACAAACACGTCCGGCAGTTAGGCCAGTTCACGACTCACGAACACAAGGTATACAGAAATAGACAGCGGCCCGTGACGAATCGTATAAAGCCTGACATCTCCATCGCCGAGGCGCGATGAAAACGAGAAACGGGCCCCGTCGAGTCACGCCCAAACGCGACCCATTGTCTGTCGGGCATGTCGTTCCGCCCGAGATTTATCGTTCGGGGTCCTCTCTCTTGTCATTATCCACGCTCGATTCGCGACGATTATCGAGCTCGTCGCACCGATCCTGTCCTCCCACGGAATTTGTTTTTGCCACAGTTCCCGCCATCTGAGCGAAATGTTCGATTCGATTGCAAACATATACACATCATCGAGTTGATCAAAAATCATATTCAAAATTTAAGTCCCAGTCGACTTTTCATCCATTATTTTTTTAATTATTGTATAGCGAAAATAAATTATTTTAATATTTAATTATTTACTATTTTTTTGCAAAGAAGCTCTCTTGAACATTAAATAAATGGTATTATATTCTAGTTGTAAAATAGAATCTAAGGGCGCAGTTTCTTCATTAATTTTATCTCCGCATTATAAACGAAAATAAAATTGACGCGACATTTCTCTTGTTATCGCGTCTCGGAGTGGATATACAGGATATAGAAAGCGGACGAGTAATGACATATTTGCATGCCCGTGATATCATTCGTCGAGCGAGCGAGATTTATCGTCCGAATAAGAGCGTCTCGTTATTCCGTACGCCGAATTCGCCGAGCGGCTTTCCCACCCCGATTTTCCGTACCCCGTCGTCAATTTTGTTTTCGACGCAGCGGCCGTTAGCGCCGTTTCAGCCGTGGCGATTCGCAAACGGCTGCTCCGACGTGGACGTTCGCCGTAAACCCGCTGTTATTAGCATGTCGAACGATGTTGCGAGCAACGAGAATGTCGATCCGGCAGGCGTACGCGCCATTAATCCGCGCACCAAATTACAAGCCACGCTGATGTTCAATGGGCCGAGCGCGATTTCCGCGCTGCGTTACTTTTCGCGCGCGTACGTTAAACGCGATTTCGCCTCGGCAACGTATTTCTGAAGAATCTGGATGAGAAGAGCCCATTCCTCTCTCTCTCTCTCTCATTCGAGAAAGGGAGAAACACATTTTTCCACGCTTCTTTGTAACCAATTTCATCGAATGTAAAATTAACAAGATGACAAAATTTCTTCCGCAACATTTATGTGTGAACTGTTTGGCAGAAGGATGTATAAGTTTTTTCCTTATTTTAAAAAGTAACAGATTAATCTGTTAGCTGTTTTATTTGATTAAATATTTTTATCTATGTTTATGAAATCAGAAATTGTAAAGAATCGAATTTTGTATCACGTCAAAATTATTAAATAGTACGATCTTCGAAATATATATAATGTATAATATTGTTTTATATATCAATTCATGCGATAAATTCAAAGTTGAAAGTATTGGGCAAGATCACTTAAGTCTGCAACATAGTTTCATCTCTCCTTCAACATAATATAAACTTATAAACTCTTCCAATATTAACAAAATTTGTCATATTGAAAATATCAAGGGTTGTATGTGATCGATAAATACTTTACGAAAAGTTTTGCTTTCTAAAAACTATGGTATATGCAAATTACGAACTTGGCAAAAACATGTGTTCGCACTTGCGTATTTCGGAGCCGCTAAGAAAGATATCAAAAGAGCGGTCTTCGCACATATGATTTCTCAAATAGAGAGAGAGAGAGAAAGAAAGAAAGAGAGCAGGATTGCATTATGCAATCACACTTACGTACACACGTGTACGCAAATATCGCACAAGCACACACATATCCGTTTTCCGTGGTGTGCGGGCGAACGAAAAGCGACCTCGACGAAGTTGCCCGTGCGAGGGAACGAGACGAAGGATGCAGGAAACGGGGGAGAAAGTTGCGCGCGAGGGTGGCTCGCGGTGGATAGCAGTGGCGGCGGCGGCGGCGACGACGGCGGCGGCGGTGGCGGCGGCGGTGGCGGCGGCGGCGGCGGCGAGGTAGTCATGACGACCGCAGCGACCAATCATCCGGAAGTAACGCAGCGCGAGATAACTCTGCATCCAATCAGGTTTAAAGCGGGGACGGGGTTGGCCATCCCCCGCAGAAAATCACCCCCGTAGCGAAATTTCCACCGTACGAGGGTAGATATACAAGACGACAGACGGCTTTCTCCCTCTCTCTTTTTCTCTATCGCGATCGTACTCCGCTCTCGAAACCCGGGATGACGGCAGGACGATGGCGGTTGTTATCCCTCCTCCCGCATTTCTTTTTTTTTTCGTCTTTTAATTCATAACCTTCGACCGCCAAGTGATAACCTGCAGGTTGCTGATAAGGGAGCCGCGATGTCTAGGGATGAGAGCAGCAGCGGCTGATGAGCTCGAAGATCCGAGTTTTATGTACGCGGAAGATAAAGGTTAAGAGAGGAGAGAGAGAGAGAGATGGCAAATGGATATCTTATCTTCGGGATCTATTTCTCGCAATATTTTTCTGCGTCGTGTTTTTCTTCATGTATTTTTCACTGACAGATTATTCGCAGAGTCAAAAATTTCGACGTAGCAAAAATATACATTTATAATAGATATCCAAAGATTTTGCAATTAATCGATTTTTAAATACGTATTTCTTAATGTTTCTTCTTTTCCAAATTTTATTATGCACATTGTTTTATGTGAAAAATATCTTTTATGATAATGAATGCATAGGTATTAATGCAAGCAAATATTACTATTCGTCCAAGGGAAAGAAAAATAATAAAATGATATATAGTATAAAAATGAATTTTAAAATATATATTGTGTAACATATTTTTATTAATTTCGATTCTATCTAAAATAAGTTTAATCATCGTTTTGATCTGTTACATATGATTTACAATTTTTTAGAATATGATATATGTTTATTTACTACTGCAAAAATATAAAAAATGACAGCTACTGTTTCTACCTATTGCAAAGTGAAATTTATCAATCATCAAACTTGAATTTATTTTTCGTTATAATTTATAGTTCACATTACTTTTCGTCAGCATAAAAGACATTTTTCATAACACGTTCGATGAACGCACGTGTAACACGGTTCGCGTACGCTATTCTCTCTCAAGGTACTCCGTAGGAAAAAAAGAACACATAGCTTACACGTAAACGTGCCGTCTTATATATATCGAAAATGCGTTTATGGTCTGGCAGCGAGCCGATAAGAAGCCCCATAAAACGAACGGCGTTCCGTAAGTGTTCGCGGCGTAACTTCGGGGTCGTCCGGGGCTGTATCTCGCATTTGTCACGTTTATCGACTTCGCGCCGTGTACTCCGCACGGTTTCACCGTGACACAGTTCGACGCACGAACGAATCTTACCGCTTTCCACTACGTTGCGGGCGCGGGAAGGATGACACTTTCGAAGAAAACTTTTTAACCCGTATCCAATTCCGCGAATATTCGGCGAATCTCTTATACTATCCAAAAATAATCTGTGAATAAGGGATGAAGTAGAAATAATTATTTTCTCAAGAATCTCTCACCTCTACGAAACAAAATTGCAAGTACTAAAGTTTGGAAAAAGATGTATCTTTTTTAAATAAAAATAATTTGTTAAAATAAAGTTTCGGCGAATCTCTTATACTATCCAAAAATAATCTGTGAATAAGGGATGAAGTAGAAATAATTATTTTCTCAAGAATCTCTCACCTCTACGAAACAAAATTGCAAGTACTAAAGTTTGGAAAAGGATGTATCTTTTTTAAATAAAAATAATTTGTTAAAATAAAGTTTCGGCGAATCTCTTATACTATCCAAAAATAATCTGTGAATAAGGGATGAAATAGAAATAATTATTTTCTCAAGAATCTCTCACCTCTACGAAACAAAATTGCAAGCACTAAAGTTCGGAACAGGATGTATCTTTTTTAAATAAAAATAATTTGTTAAAATAAATTTTGTAAGTGCAAAATGATGTTTTCGCGAAAATAGAATCCATTCTGATCTTTACTTTACTGTGATTATCTGGTTATATCATATATTTTGCCCAACTTTAAATGAACATTTAACAATATCAACTAGATGACTTTGCTATGCTGCACCGTCGCTCTTGCGGAAAATTTTCTCCAAACAGCTCTTACTGGCAAATCTCGCGCGAGCTCAAATTGCTAATTCGTTTCGCGTCTTTTTGATTACGATACAAGCTCAGGGAAGCGGAAGGAAATAAAGGAAGAAAAAATTTTTTCTCATCACTCCCTCTCTCTTTCCCTTTGCACTCACGTAGCGTGCCTACCTCCACGCGGTGAAAGATGGATGGATGAATTCTATCGTTATCGAGTCGCACCCCCGTTTGTGAAACGGGGCAGACCTCACCCCGCCCGCAAAATCTCTCGCCCGAACGTGCATATTTCCATTTGACACGCCTCGCCGGGCGCCTGATTTTATTAAAAACCCCCGTAACCCGATTCCGCGCGCTTCCACGGGGAATAAAATGTTTCTTCTACTCACAACTGTCTCTCGATTTCTGCAAGATGAGCGCAATCAGTTTCGAAACTCCTGACTCCAAAGATATAAAGAAAGATAGGTCGCATGATGACTTTCCTCGAGATCTGCAAATTGAATTAAAAAATTAATCAATAAAAGATTTTTCCTTTAAAAGATGTCTTTTAAAAGATTTTTTGATTGCGTATGTATTAAGAGAAAAATATGTAGTGTATAATATTTGAAACTTATGTAGGTATAAATTGACATTGTTAATGATTTCACATTTTTCGCAAATATGCGCTTCGTGCGAATTGTCATATAAATTTTGAAATGAATAAAAAAAATAATTTATATTCTTAGAAGACCCGTTCCTCGGATAAATAAAATGAATAAAATCAGAATCTCAAAGGGAGTAAAATAAATTTCTGCTAAAACAATAAGAACTTTGCTAATCGTATTGGTTGGCGTACAGTTCGTTACTTAGCGATACATTTGACCCCTCGTTTCGTAACTAAATTAGAGGTCTTGATACACGAATATTCTCTGGATGCCGAAAATCTGGAATATACAGCGAGAAGAAGAAGAAGAGAGAGAGAGAGAGAGAGAGAGAGTAAAAGACACGAGACGAGGAAGGGAGAAATGGCATGGTAAACGAGGTCGAGTGCTGGCAGCGTATAATTTCGATGACAAGCAAAGGGGTGGTTATCTCTCGTTGCCTCTCACCCTCTCGCCACGGACTGCGAGTGGTGAGCCACCCCCGCGTGATTGTATTAATTCAAGCCGCCCCCTTCCGCCCCGACTTCCCATTTACACCTCGCGCTCCCTTCTGTTCCTGCCTCTTCCTCGTTCCTCCCTTCTCACTGTCGACGTCGTCCCTCCTGAAGCACAACTTCCGGAGACAAACGAAGCGTGTCGGCGTCGCGTATAATGAAGCGCGCTCGTTCGTTTTCCCGGCAGCGCCGTTTTCTTGCCGCCTGTCTTCGCGAAAAGAGATGCCAGTCGGTGCCTAAATCTAATTTGCAACTGATGATCCTGATGAATTATAGATAATCGATAATAATGGCGCTAAAAATTAAGTCGAGAAAATTAAAAACCTTTTTAATAGACTATCTGAGAGAGAGAAAAAAATATTTTCAATATCGTAGAAGCGTGGAAGTGACATACTAATTTAATATCGTATAACATCGAATTAATTATCATGTTACAAGATAATTTATTATTCAATCTTATCGAGAATTAAACTTAAAAAAATTATAGATGAAAGAAGATAAGAAAAAAGTATTTTTGCACTACGTGTCTCGATATTCACGTGCATAGAGATTTGCTACTATTAAACACGGGAGATCTGATATCGACACAGCTGACAGAATGCGTGACGTCCATTGTCATCGGCGCAATATGCGTTATCTCGTCAGCGAGGGTGGATATCGTTTGGCGACGAAGGTCGAAAAGGGAGAAGGAGTTACAGTAGAAAGATGATCGTTGGTGCGAAGTGTTGAAAAAGGTTCGGAGTGGATGATCGAAGTAGAAGAGGAGGATAGGAAAGGGGTACCAAGCCGTTTAACGATATTTCACGGGGTTCTCGTCGCTCGTAAGGGTTTCCTACGGTATTACCGGAGGCAGTCTTGCAGACTCGAGATAAGGGAAGCCCTCGGTTCCTCGTTTCCGATAGCGAGAAACGGCGGCAACTAAGGCGCTCGCACCTCCACCTTAGCCTCGCATACGAGAGAGGGTGGTGGATCCTCGGCGGAAGGAAAGCCGCGAGCAAACCCCTTCTGGTTGCTACGCAGAGTATCCCTTCTTTCCCCTTTCCCCATTTGGCCGCCATGAACTCGGTTAATATCTGCTTATCCTGTCTTACCATCCGTCTCCTTCGACCGTTTCGCTTCCTACGCGGCTTCCTTCTACTCGTCATGTTAGTTCCTGCGAAGTCTCGCAAACTTGCCGACGTCGACGTCGCGTCGTCGCGGAATAATCTATGAACACGAATACGCGCGTACGCTTCGCCTTCGAAGACACATGTGTGCAAATAGTTGGGTCTATTTGCACACACAATCAAGATCGAATTCTTTAAGGAAAGAGAAAAAATGCAATAATATCGTTTAATTTCGTTTATAATTTTTTCTTTAATTCAGAGATCGATGGAGAGCTGACTGAGATAAAATAGGGTGCACAAATTTTTTTAAACATATCGGAAATACTTTTTTTATTGTAAAATAAAATTTGTAATACCCTTCTACATATATAAATGCGTATTTTTTCGCTTCTGATAACGAGAAGATTTTAGAGTAATTATTTACTTTTGCAGAAAATATACATTCCCAGCTAACAGAAGAAGAACTCGGAATGAGTTCAATAGCAGCTCTCCCTTTCGCTTTAGCAATTAGCGGCTGTTTAAGTGCACGTGCGTCCATGCGGTCGGTTAATCTCCGTACGCGCGGGGATAGCTTTCTTTCGTCCTCCAATTAGAAAGAAAAAATCTCAGTGACAGTGGGTCTCTCGATTGGTCGGTCGTTACTTATTTATCAAAGGGACACGCACGTGTTCGTCCAATTTTGTCTCGATATTTCCACGTGCTTTCACGTGCTCTCGCGATTGCTTTTGCACATGTTCCAACAGGTGCAACAGTTTATGCAAATATATGCAAAGTGTACCAAATAATATCTTAATTTTTCTGTCTAATTTTTGCAATTCCGAAACTAAATTCGTAGTAAAAATTTCCTAGTTTTATCTTGTACGTTATTATTACGAATAAAATATACAAGATTAATATATTATATACATATATATATATATACTTTGACATTAAATGATGCGTGCAATTTATATATTATAAGATAAATCAATATATCCGCCTGCAAGTTTTTTGCATGTAAATCTCAGCACAATTTTTTGTCCATAATTTTGAGTTTTTTTGAGCGTGTTGCGGCCGTCCTTGGCGACTCATCGATATAATTATTAAACGGGACATTTTCTCCGGGGGCTAGCCGTCGAGAGCGGAGGAGAGAAGTTGACGACGGGTTCGGTAGAGACCCACACCACACCCGGTGTATCCTCCGGTAATGAACGCAGCCACCTTGAACTGGCAAACGGATGAGCGGCCAGGCGGAGGCAGTCTGTAAGGGCGAATCTGAGAGAGAAAGAGAGCGGACGGTCCCCGAAGTGCGACGGGGGATACGCGGTAGGTTAAGACGTGGGGGACAGCAGGGACGCGGCGGTAGCCACTAAAAGGGGTTGTGTCCTCTATATGATGAAAGCACCCTTCCGTGTCCCGCGCTGTATAGAGGCTCTCTCTTCGCGCCGTCGCCACCACCACCTCTGCCGCCTCTGCTTTGGTTCCTTTTCTCGTGGATAGAGAGAGAGAAAGGACGAAGGTACCCATTTCTCTCTTTCTCTCTCTCTCTCTTTCTCTCTCTCTCTCTCTCGCCATTTGCGCAACGTCGTCCCCCTGGCCTTCGCATCTACTCACACAATTGTGCATTCGCCGTGTCGATACGTGTCTGTCAGTTTCCACGTGTGTCTCCCTCTTTATCATTGCGTCCCTCACGTGTGTATGTGTGATAAGCCCAGTAGCAGCCATTGACGCCTCGGTGATCTGACGCGATTATACGTGACGCGCTTCTCTCCTCTTTTGCCGTATATTCCCTCTTTTCTCTCTCCTTTTTTCCCGCTTTCCTCGCTTTTTGTCCTTCACGCCTTTTTCGCGGTTTTTCCAACCACCTCACCATCGCCGGCGCCGCAGCTGCCGTGATTAGGCTGAATCGCGCGTAAACGGTGGCGGCTTTACAACCGTGGCCGAAGACAAAAGTAAAAAAGAAGGGAAAAAAGCGCTACGAGGCGCGCGCGATATTTTCATCAGGCTGCAGATTACGAACAGAGACTAGATTAAGATAACCCTATCGTCGTTGTGACTTTAGTCTCTGAAAAGAAATAAAAGGATTCATTATTCTCTTCATGTTCATATACCTATACGTTACTTTATTTCCAAGTTTTTTTTTTTTTTTAATTCATCTTAAATCATTTTTAAATACAGCACCTGCTTGACATTTGCCTATAATATTGTAACTTGCTTTTCCAACTTGGCTTAAATTTTAATTATAAATATACCGTTCCGTTATGTAAAAAATTATAACTACTAATTTGATAAATTATGATGATACTTTTTGCGCATACCCGTATATCAAAAACTCCACGATTAGGATGAGATTAGTCGTGACGGCGCAAATCGCCGCGATAAAAGCGATAGAAAACATGAAGGCGCCCAAGATCAGTCTCCATTTGTACTTTCCGAAATCGTGATAATGTACGAGAATATATAAAGTGACCGGAATTAATGTGGCCAAAGTGGATATGCATATCGCGCCGACTAATCCGGTAAACAGATCAAGCTTCGGAATCGCCGCTGCGCAAATACCTACAAAATATAAGTCTCGCTGTATTCAAAGATAAGGGATATTAACAATACAATTGTATTAATTAGCATAATTATTTTAGAACGAATTGAAGATAACGAATATCGTGAATAGTATGATCGTAGCCTTCAAGATATGATCCGATCGAATAAGACTTGGACAAAACTGAGTATCTATATCAAATTCCGCGAAAGTGGATTCCTGAACTTTAGTAATATCTGGGTCTCTAGAAGCGGACCGTAATCGTGGACGGATTGATCGATTCCGCCAAGTTGGTCGCTCCAGCACAAAGGGAGATGCGATTCATCGCGGTCCATCGAATATGGTCGAGTTTACCTTGAAGATATGAGAGAGCGCGGGAAGAAATATAAAGAGAAATTATTGTTTACATGTGATAAGCGTGATGCCGAAACGAATAATCAGATCCCAAAGAAATGGCGTTCCCTTCCAGGTACCAGCCTCGATGGCTGGTATAGCATAGCCGTCTTTCAGAATCGTAATAGGCATATAACATTGCAGCCCATACGTGAAATATATTGCCAACGCTTGCATTATCAATGCCGCGATCGTCGGTCTAAAGGAAATCGATTTAGAACATAAAATATAATAATAATAATTTTATTTCAAGTAAAAGAATGTATATTAAAAATAATAAAGGTACGATTGCAACGTCGAAAGGTGAAGTAGCCGTAAAAACTTGCTGTTACTAAACT